CACTTTCAAACCCAATGTACATTCTTATACACTTATGAATTTAGATAGTTTCACATTGTATGTGCTTTTTATTTAAAGGCATATATTTTGTGGTACATGCAGTGCCCTGCAGAGGCCAATGGAACTTTCTTTTAATTTATCTTGCTTTTTTATTGTACAGTGTATATTAAAGATAATAAAGTCATTTTATTCTTGAAATTTTGTTTGGTGTCTTAATTGTTTGTGAGTCATTTATGGTACCAAATAAAAATAAGAAACATCTGGATAATGATGTTTTGATCAAATTTGCTATCTTGAGTGAAAGTGTAAAAAAGTGATATTTTAATCAACTTTGTTTACCTTACTTTAAGTATGGAAAACTGCTATCATGGCAATATTTGCCATCCTGAGCAAAGATACAGAAGAACTGATATTTGATGAACTTTGCTACAATGGGGAAAAGTATGGGAAACTACTGTTTTGATCATATCTGCCATCCTGAGCAAACTTGAGAAAAAAGTGGTATTTGGCCAAATTTGCTACCCTGAGCAAAACAGTGGCAAACGCCTATTTTGATCATATTTACCACACTGAGCAAAGATACGGAAGAAGTGATAATTTGACCTCATTTACTACACTGGGCGATACACAAATAAAGTGAATTTTTGCTCAGATTTACTATCCTGGGCAAAACTGTTGAAAAATGAGTTTTGGTCACTTTTGCTACATTGAGCAAAAATGTGGCAAATTACTACTTTGACCGAATTTGCTATAGAGAGCAAAAGCATTCAAAAATTCATCTTCGATCGCTTTTGCCCATTTGGGCAAAAACCTGACAAATGTCAGTTTTGCTTTCAAGTTTGACACCCCTGTAAATGCCTTGATAAAGTAAAGGTTATCGTTGTTTTTACACACGGGGCAAATTTGAGGCAAATTCGGCATTTACCACCTTTGCCACTGATGCAAAATTATGGCAAAGTTGGTCCTATGTCATGTGGCAAAATTGAGCAAAATTAAGCAAATGTGGCATTTGCAGATGATTTGCTCCAAATTTGCTATAGAGGTAAATCCGTTTTTTCGTCCAGTGGTAATCTGCCGCTCGGTACGCTGAATGTAAGCACATTACATGTTATCATGTCATTGGCAAATTCCTAAGACCAGTCACGCGCAAACAGCGGTACTACGACATTCACGTTCCTCATTATGCTTCCCCACAACATTTTGCATAAGTTTTGTTTTCGATTTCTTAAGTGATGATTATTAGTCTCAAGAGAAATCGAAAACAATACTTACGTAGTAATTTTGTTGCGAAAACAAATTTTGTCATGGGGAACGTGAAAGTCGCAAGTACAAAAGGGAAGATTTATGTTTTGTAACGGATCACTGTGTGCGTGATTGAAAACTCAGTATGATTGGCTCCCTCGAAGACCATGGGCGCAAAATGGATCTGCTCCTGATGTAAAGTGTACTCGACGAGAACTATCTAACGAAATTCCCTCTTTCGGGAGGTGATCCATTAAGATCGTGTACAACAGTTTTTAGGATTTATTCTTGGGTGCCGGCATTGCGGGCTTTCCTCGATTCGAAAAATAATGCGGTACAAAGTTTGTGCAGGTACGGCAAATGGGCTCTTAGATAATCTGAGATAGGGAATTCGATTTTGAATCACAGTAAATACCCTTGGTTACAAAGACTTACGTGAAAAACCAGGAGTAAGGTGTGAGAGCGTTTTTCAAGTTATAAAAGGCGCCATCTACAATTTCGGAAAGGGCCCTCATTACCCAATCTTGGAGAAATTGCTCTCTCTCTCTCACACACACACACACGTGGTCAGCAGATAGTTTGAGCACTTCTCTAATATTATTGAAGACTGATTTTCACTGCGGAGCGACTGCTAGCACAAATCAACAGACAGCACTGTGTCGCAAGAAAAAGAAAAGCAAGTGTCTTGACGCGAACACAACTGGTATATTTGTCAGAAGAGGTGTGTCTAGTCCAAGAACCATGCATTGTCTCGACAAAGACTGAAACTTTTTTTAAATACTGCCAAACAAGATGGTGGTTGACTTCAACAAAAAATATATGTATATTTCGGTCAATACAGAAAACAATTTTATTGAATGTGTACTTGAATGAATAGCAAAAAGGATGCGGTTTTCATTCCAAACCCTGTAATTAGCGAAACTGTATTCAGTAGTCATCCTCATCGGTTATTTCCACGTTTATTATTATTGTAATTCCTTATTTTTATTACTTTATTGGATCGATGTGCAGCGTATATAGTTACAATAACAGCGTAATATGTTATTATTATAGTGGCAGTACAAACGTCTGGATGCCCAGAGTAAAAAATAGAAAGCTTTGGCTGGGCGGCAAACCGTAACCAGCCGCAGCATCGACTAAAATTTATGGTAACAATTGCACACTAATTTGCGCAAAAAAAATAAAATAAAATAAAATAAATAAAAACCTGGGTGAAAATGATGGTTTTCACCAACAACTGAGTCGGAGTCGTAATCGGGAAGTGTACAGGGTTTGACCTTAAATAAAAGCAGCCCTCTCATTGCGCTTAATTAAGACCATTCTTGGGAACAGCAAAAATGATTTAGAACAAACCTTCTAAGTATAGTGTTCATTCCGTGCAATAACGCATAAATAAAAAGTTCTGGAAGAAAAGACACCTTATTTTATACCACTGAGGACAAGCAAAAAGGTCATATGGGTACCTCGGTTAAAAATATTTAAATAACTCTATTATTTAACACCAGGCCTAATTTAAAGGAAAAAGTTATGAGAATAAAATAAAAGTTGTCTGTACCACGAAGCATGCCTTCACTGTTTAAACTGAGAGTCCTAAAGCTTTGTTAACATTTATCCGAATATCTTATGACGACAGGAGCCCATCCTGATGACGATAAGTCCGCCACCCACACCACCCTGCTCAGTAGTGTTTTCACTCAGCGGCTGGTCAGCGGTCACGTTTATGAGGTAAACATGGCGATCACTTCCTGATCACCGTTCTTGTCGATCAGAAAATCAAAATACCAGCGTGATATGACCTCGAAGATGAAGCAGTTATGTTGTTTGATTCGTACTTCACATTCGAGTCGAAGCTTGGCTGTCACAGGTTATTTCCTACGGTGGAATCGACGAGGGAAATTCGACCACTAGTTGTAGTTTTTGAATTGTTGGAAGAAATGGTCGCATGGGGATGCAGGAATGGTAGGTTTAACGAACAATTTCAAATTTTGTTCCTTGAATTGAAAGTGCAGTTCATTTGAATGCTTTCGTTTGTATTTCTGTCGGTTTTAGATCTACCTGCTCGATTTATATCTGCTACGCTTCATGTTGACAAGTCCCTCAAAATGGCGGCAAAACTTGGAGATTGCCGAAAATTAGGTAAGTTCACGGAGTTATAAAGTTTTAGTAAAGGTCGGGCCGCAAAGTTTTTTTCTGTAGTTGCCTTTTCTATGGCACCTAGTTCCTAGCTATATTAGTTGGATCAGTTGAGAACGCCTCACTTTTTCAAAAATATACCTTGAATTTGATCGGTTTTCGCGTGTGTGACTTACGCGGACCGATAAGGTGTCGTTCAAGTCTTCCTGTTTGCTTGATTGAAACGTGATGTTCACGAAAGTCGCATCGATGGATAAGATAGAGTTAATATACATGTCTGTGGTATTTTTTTTTTTTGCTAAGTCCCGTACTTTTTTGTAAATTGTCCTCCAAAGTTGTCTCAAATTAAAGTCTTGAAAAAGTGTCACGAAAGGCCCTCGCTCGAGTGAAATTTAATTTCCGTAAAACTCTGAAAAATAAAGAGATCCGATCAAACAGATTGTGGTTTTAGTATAGGTACATGAATGTCTTACAACACACAAGAAATGAGCTAAATCTGTGTCTCAAGCAAAATCGACCGGACCGCTCTTACAGAGACACTCTCTTAATTTTGTAAACCGGCTCATTTTCCGAGGGAGTTAAAAAATCAATATAAACCTTTCCTGTATTCACGATTAAGGAAAGTTTGTCGTTCAGTCATGAGGATCGGGGGTATGTGGGCAAAGTCGAAAATGCAGTGGAATTACTGGGTGCTCAATCCGGCTTGACGGCCTCATACTTCAACCATAACGGTGATGATCAGTCTATCTCCGTGAGATCGCTTTTAAAGAGAGCTAACGCTCAAAACGTCGGCTTTTCAATCTCAATCTTTTTACAGTGGCCAATGTGATACTGTATCAACTCAGTTAATAAAATCAAGTCCTTGTGTGTGTCCGTACGTTCATCCGTAGAGACTCTGAAGAAGGGGGATGAGGAGAGTCTAGCCAAGGAGTCATGATGAACCTGGAATAAGCCTTGCCACAAATGTAAATATTATGAAACTGGTATAAAAATACCTATTTTGAGCAGATAAATTAAACAGTAACCGACAAGAGAAGACTTGATTAACAGGTACAAATCGACGTCTGCTGTTCGCGGTCAGAACCTGATTCTTAATCTGCGTCGTCAGGGAAGCGCTGACCGGGAGACTGATAGACTTAAACCGCTCTTTGACCAATACTCTTAGCATTTGTGTAGTAAGCGTGGAAGATAATGCTTGCTGACGAGTGCACGGATCCCATAAGCTTAGAATGTGGATAACAAAATGTGAAGGCTTGATAGTGCGGTGTGCCGATTTTAATGGTGATGAGGAAATTGATGATGATGATGACGACGATGACGACGACGATGATGATGATGATGATGATGATGATGATGATGATGAAAGAGTAATCGTTTATTGAAAAAGTGCCGAAAAATCGGCAACAAAACAAACAGCAAAGTTTACAGAAATCTCAATAAGGTAGCAAAACAAAATGCAGCAAAACATTATTAGTGATTGTTCCTTCTTGAATTAATTTTTACCATTTCCATTCTCTTTCTTGTAGATAAAAACCGTGGTTAAGATCCTTGGATCCTTGGCATCCTCTGTATTTTGATCAAAAAAAGCCATAACATAGCCTTGTAAGAAGGCTCTGAAGACGGCAGCTGGCTAATTTTAGTTTTATATAATATGAGCTTTGATCCTCTTCTTCTCTCCCAGTTAGTGTCATTGTCATTGCTTTTGTCATTGGCATGGAAACTGAGCAAACATTGATTTGGACACTAAGATCAAGAGAAAAATAGGCTACTAGTAGAAAAATTAGAATTGCTAACCTCCCGGTCCTTTGTACTGAGTCCGTACTCGGTCTTCTAGTTCAAAAAATTACTTTTTTAACCGCTTTGGCTATAGAAGTATATATCAGGTACATTCAAACTTCACTATCGTTCTACTTTCTCTCCGATTCTTCAATAACGTGAACTTGTCTAGATTCTCAGGATACTAAAGACTGAAGTCAAAGGTCTTCTCCTTGCACTAGGATTCAAGTTCACAAAGCTAACATATCCCGAGGGGCCTCTACTAACCGAGTGAGCATGATGCCGAGACCGTTTTCAGGTCTTTGGCAGCTATTTTTCAGTCACCCTTTCGCGGGGTACGATTTGTAGTTGTGGCAGACATTTCCTGTATACGTCACTTCCACGTATTTTCCCCTCTCTTCCTCGATGACCATCTTAAATTTCATGTCGCATTCGCGACGCTTGCAGTTCCCAGATCCTCTGAAGAACGGCGCTGAGATCATCTTTCGAGAGTTTTCCTTTCGAACGTGATTATTCTTTAGGCGCAAGTTGCACCAGGGATTGCTTTCATGTAAACCACGTTTAAAAATCGTAGTCCAGGCACCACCTAACAAACGACCTCCACCTGGGAAATGGGTGATCTCCATTACGTCCCAGTCTTGTTCTGACAGCTTAAATCTCGTCTTGAAACCATCGATATCAACTCGAAGGAAACGCTGTCCCCCTTCAGAGTCTTTCCAGACTTCATCCTATCGCGAGGAAAAATGTAACTTAGGCTTTGTCACACGTGACGTAAAACGTTAACGGTTGCAAACGGACACAGATTAAACCGGCCCCCACACTTTTTTTACCCAGTCTATGTCCACACGATTACATTTAAGTTAGCATGCGCGCAAGCTCTCTGGGGGGCTCTGGATGGCCGCAAATGGGTCTGTTTAAAAACATTCTAACTTCTGATGTACAGGGAGGGAAGGCAACCTCAAAATGCTTATGACAGATCAGTAGAAACTGAACAATTTTGAGCCAGAACCAAAACTCCTCAGTATCTGGTCATTAGTATTTTCAGACACTATTTGCCGAAATTTGTTGAGTAATTTCATAAGACAAAAATGACATAATGTTACCATGACAACATGCGGCAAAAATTTCAGTTTCATTAAAGGTGAAATTGATGGCCAGGGCACACGACACACAGGTCTAAATGACACGCGTGCAAAACGTCTGCGCATGCGCAAGGTCTCTATTTTCAATAATTAAAATTTGCAAAATCTTCCCCATTTAAATTGAAAAACACTTAGGAATGTTTGATATGTTTAATGGTTTGCAGCCGGTTCTAGTATTAAGCACAACAAAAAATTACTTAAACTAACTTAACTAACTGGTAAAGTCGTCCAGTACAAGGTTTTTGCGTCCTTGTTTTTCCACCTAGCATGCATTGCTCGTTTTCGTTGTTCGCATTGACCGAGCTCAGCGACATGATGACCAAAACAGCAACAATGGCTACGGCGAAGTGCTGCCAGAGCGAGCGTGGACTTTCAAACATGATTTTCTCCTTTGGTGCAAGGAGGAAAGTATGTGGTGCAAAAGAGAGAAACTAAAGCAATTAATAAACTTTGTGTTCGTGAAATTCTAAGCTTATCTTTTGTGTGTGGAGCTTACTTTTTTGAATTTCGCGGCCGGAATCTAGTTTGTTTTGGTATCGCATATAATTTCGATTGGGGGAGGCACATGCAAATTCGCGCCGGAAGCAGGGAAGGCACGCATGCGCACTGCGTTTTTCACGCGCGTCGGTCTAAATCAGCGCCACATCCCACAATACATATATTGTCTTGGAGAGCTCGTTACAGGCAAAATATAATAAAACGGTCAAAAGCCAAGAGGTTTTCCGCGACCTCTCCCCTGGTACCACGGCGTGGGAATGGATTTCAATGGCGTTACGGCTGTGAGCACCTTCATCATCGACAATATTCGCTTACAATATTACCATTTTATCCTTCGCAGACGGAAGCTATTAACTCACACGTTTGTGCGTGTTTTGTGTGGACATATTCTCAGGAACTGAAAAGCAAAACGATTTAACAATGCCTGAAGCCGGGGTCGTACAAGGTAGCGAAGAAATGGCATGCTAAACAAGAGGCGGTCCCTGCTGCTAAATGTGACAACCTCGTTCCCAGGGTCTTCTCGTTTTCAAGTATGGCGTGGAAGGAGAGAGACCCGCTTGTCAATATGACTGCCTTCTTCTGTTGCAGCATCACCAAAGACTATTCCATACTTACTAGCAACATTGGGGTGAAACAGTGGGAAACGTATTAGAATACAAAACAAAAAAGTCAGTTCGAGTATATGTATATAACGGTCAGACAGGTCAAA